ATGTTCGATATCGTTTCGTCATTGACATTGCCGGAGACTCGGACCAGTCGCCGCATGACTTTTCAACTTAATCTCATCTGCCATATTGGATTTTGTATTTCTTGTCGTAATTAAGAACGCAGAATAAATGCATGAATAATAATAATAATAATAATTAGTAGTATCATTACATGCGGTAGATCCAAAGAAAACTCTCTCGTCACACCATTAATTTTCTGTAGATAAATGAACGTGTGAAGCTGCCATAGAAATGTGTGTTAACTGGATCTGTATTTAGTAAAAGACAGATAGAATATAATAGTAATGATATATACATATATATATATATATATTTATATATATATATATATTAAGAAGTGGGTTTCTCAAATGACGATGGGATTCTATTGCCCATAAAATTTGACATTCACCAACAATAATTTAAAAGACTGAATGATTGGATCTACTTTTTCCAACAATGACTTAATGAACTAATAAAAATTAAGCTTTCCTTTCCTCTAATTAGAAAGACTTGGTATAAGAATACGTAAATAATTATGGTCATAATAATTATTGTTACTTAAATTTTACATTAACAATTTAATTTTTTAAGCATATAACATTATATTTTAATAATATTATAATACTTAAAAAAAGCTTTTTATTTATGACTGATAATATCTATGGTTTGGTGGTATGAACACAGGTTTCTGAATCCAACTGGTTCGTCTCTATCTATTGTTATCATCACACGAAATACTGAAGTTGGATGTTTGTTAATTAAAATCAAAACTTTATTCGATCTTCAATTCGGAAAGTGCAGAATGGTCCTATGTGTATGCATATATAAACACATATATATATGTGTGTATATATAGTAATTTAGAGATTGAGTTGCAAACGAGAGAAGATAGAAATGGGTAAATGATAATTATGGGTACCTAAGATTGAGAGGAGAATTCACAGGTGTACAGAGCGTGTTGATGATAGCGTATGACAGACTGCAAGAACTCCTTCTTATTTCTTCATGCTTCATCTTAATACATAACACGTAAAAACACACAACGTGTCAGCGAAGATATCGTGTCACGTAAGCCTTTACAATTTCAGTCCGTTTGCTAATTGCCACCTCCTTACCAGCTTTCTTCTTCTACTTTTCTCCTTCAGCTTCTAAATCTCTTCAACCCAATCAACTCTCTCCCTCTCTCTCTTTCTGTCCATACATATATATATATATATATATATACACACACACACACACAGACACTCATGCACATACCCATATACACTTTTAAGAAAATACATACACCAATGATCGACCAGATTCTTTATTAATTATTAATTAATCTTTTTCACTGCAAATACAAATATATCGATTGAGAAATCATGGCGCACACGAAAGAGTTCATGGGGGCTCCCTTTAGAAGGTCTGGTGAGTTTCATTAATTAACATGTTCTCTCCTTTAATTCTTTTCTGATCATTATTAATAATTAACCAGTCATTCTTTCAAACGAAATGCTTCATGGGTTTCTTTCATCTTACAACGTCTTTACTGGGTATTCAAATGTTTTGATAGATTTGATTCATTAATATGCTGCGGCAGAACGAGGGTGGGTCTTGATCTTTAATTTTCTGTTTTTGTTTTTGTTTTCTGGTCTTAAAAAAAGATATCTTGATTATTTTCTTTTTTTCCAATGTTAATCTTGAAATAATGAGGAAATGAAAGATTAGATATGAACGCAAGCAATAATATGCTTGCACGATTCAATGTCTTAATCTTAGAAATTTTATGTTCCGGGTTGTGTTGTTTCAGGCAAATCAAAGAAGCAATGTGCCAATAACTTGAACTGTAAGTTGAATGTAAACGAAGAATACATGGGAGTTTTCAGGACGAAATCATACGTAGAGATGTGGAGCAAAGCTCAAGGAGAGTTGGGAGAAACAAATCTTGATAAGCTCTCTACCTCCTCCTCATCACCTTCCTTTCCTCTTCAAACACATCTCACAGAATGCTTGCTTGAACCACGCCAAGAAACTCTACTACAAATGATGGAAAGCTTGAATTTCCATCACCTCATCATCAATTTCTTCGAAGCTAGCCTAGAGGCCTGCAACATGTGCGAATTACTCCTCCGAGGCATCCATCAAGCACGGGCGAATTACCAAATAATCAAGAGGGTACTCAACACGAGCAAGCAATTCAACAATTTTGTTAGAGACTACCCAGATGAGCTATACTCCGAGATATACCAAGAGCTTGCTAGATTTGCATTGTGCAAAAATCCACTATCCATTATCAGTCCAGCGCAATACCGTAAGGTCCATGATGGGAACATGGTGTTGCTCCACAGATTAACATCCAAGCACAAGAAGATTAGAAGAAGAGCCAAGTCAATAGATTCTGCAAGAAGGTCGGCGGTTATAGTCTAGTGATTTCACACAGTGCCCTTGTTATTGGCTTGCTAGTTATTTCACTCCACAGCATAGTTGGTCTTCTCGCAGCACCTGGGCTGCTTGGTTTCCTATTGTGTCTATTCAAGAAGAAAACCAAGACAGAGCCACAAGTAAGAAGCAGGCTTGAAACTCTTGGCGCACAGCTTGATATCGCAGCCAAAGGAATTTTCATTCTGATCAATGATTTTGACACCGTGAGCAGGCTGGTGAGGAGGCTGCGGGATGAGCTAGATCACCACAAAGCTGTTTCTAATATGTGTGTTAGGAGTGGAAATCACGAGGTATTAAGGGAGGTTGTGCAAGAGTTTAGGATGCACGAATCTAGGTTCATTGATCAATTAGAAGAGCTAGAGGAGCATCTATACTTGAGTTTTCACACCATAAACAGATCCAGGAGGCTTGTTTTGGACGAGATGATGGGGTTCCAGATATGACATGTATAAATCAGTCTATTTATATGATAACTTTATAGGTGAGTACTAATATTGGAAGTATAAAGGAGATCTGTTGGGGATGAAATTTTGACAAGATCACTCCTCCAGACAAGTGTTTACAATATAAAAAATCAAGCTACAAGAGTTCTTCATAACATAATCAGAGTCATAAAAACTAGAATGACATCTTCAGCCAAGCAAGAGCTTTGCTAATTCAAGATCAGCTTGAAATGAACTAGAAGGCTAAACAGTGTGTTAATTCACATTATCAGTCTTGATCATTAACAGATTACTCATGGGATGGTGGCAGAGAACTGAAAGAAAGCATGCCATTTGAGCCGCAAATGCATCTTAGTTACAAAACGGAGACAAGAGAATTTACAATATACAATAAAATTCTTGAGTTTACTTCTTGAAATTGTATATTATAGCATACATAAATTTGTGTCAAGAAATCAGCACTTCAAATATTTCCAGCACGAGTCAAGTTAGTCCTCTAAACACGACAATCCGAAAAAAAGGCAATTTTATTTTTGCTATGAATCCAGAGTCAAATCTTCACCATCAGAAATTTGCCTACGTAGACGTTTGAAAAAAAAATGAAGATAAAAACTGTAAATCTACAATTATGCACAGGTTACTGATGAACAACATCAGCGTAGATATCCAAAATGATATGTTCATTCAAGAACCAAAACTAGAAAAAGTTTGGTCTAGCAGTTCTTACCTGTTTCCACATCCCCACAGCTGCAAACATAATAGAATTCTCATTTTCAGCAGTTTTTAGTTATCAATTGAGGTACCAGACAAAACTAAAATGAACTAAAGCTTGTACTCAGATGGGGGAAAATAAATATTCTTTAATAATAAGCTGTTACAAAATTAAAATTAATGGAATCAAAGCTTGTACTGTAATCACCCTAGAGGTTAATCTGAAAGTGCCTGTGAATTTGAAACCGAAAGTGCCTCAACATTGTTGAGGTAGCAAACTCATTATATTTCTTTATAAAAAAAAAAAGGAAATTATCACATTTCTGGTTGCTTCAACATTCAACTTGAACCCATGCATATTTGTAATTCAGCATTTTTCTCTCATTTTTTTGTATTCTTCAAGAGTCAAGAGTGAAGACTTGAACTTGAGCCAATCTGCCGGTTTGGGCATAATAATGGCAATGTAACCTTCTCTATCAGCCTGAAATTTAGACAAGAAAACCAATCAATTGAAGTCCTCAACAATTACTACATACTAAATTACCACCAGAAGAACAAAATAATATCAGTTCCAAAGAGCAGCAATAGCATGTTCACATATTGCTATGCCCTTAGGACATTAACTATTAAGAGAAATTCAGATATGAATGTCAGGAACCTCCTGATTTGTGAAGAAATACAGGAAGAAGAAGGAGAAGAAAGGAAAGATTTAAAGAAGCAGAGCTTTGCTGTAGAGAAAGAAATTTATTATTCGTTCATATTTTTTCCTTCATATAAAAATCATCCCAATACCACCTTTTGTAGCTGAAAACTAATTCATCGAAACTGATCTCTAACTAATTGAAACAACTCTAACTAATGTTGTCACATAAATTGTCTATTTCCCTTTTCAAGAATATATTGCACTAAATCATTATAATTACCGGCTGCCAAGCACTTTTCATTAGGTTTTGAAGCTACCACAAATGACAAACAGTAATCTTTCTCTGATTAGATAACATAATGACCAACACTACACTTTCAAGTTGTAAATCGTCCAAAAAAAAGTAGCACAGAAATAAGTCTTCGTGTATTGAAATAATAATTGCTCTTATTTAGAGGAAGAACATGAAACGTTAGGGATGTTGAAGAGTTAATAATGCAGAACCATTCAATCAACGAAGATCTAATTTAATGTAGGTGGAAAATATTACCGATGAATTAAGCAAGGCTGGGTTTTTAACTAGTCTATCATTGACTTCCAACAGAGAGCCTTTAACACAACACCTATCAAAATTCAAAAGCTTCAGATTTCAATGTTGAATCGAAAGGGGGCGGGAAAAAAAAAACAATTCAGTACCTGAATGACAGAGAAAGAGACAAGGAAAAATATACCTTACAATATAAGAAGCATAACTGGTGCGAACTTTACACAAGGCTGTGTTGGATTCAAAGTGTTGTGCGTTCTGCATAACAATATTTGTAGCCTTATCAAACTAAGATACTTGCAAGAGTCACAAAGCAATCGACTTGAGAATTCCACATGGCATTCCATTGATTATTTCTCAAAGCCATCCAATTTACCCCAGTGGTTATTTCTAAATTACCAAAGTAATGCAAATTCAAGAGAAAGAGGTGAAAGAAACAGACCTTCTTGCGTTTGCCGGTGACCTTGAACCCACTGCGATCAGACTTGCCGACGTTGAAATCAACGGCCGTAATTCCTCCTTGATCCTTAAACGCCACGTGAGTAGGAGCCAAACCAATTATGCACAATCTTTTAATTATAATTTCAATCACAGCTCAGTGTACAATTAATTCAACAGAACAAAAAAAAAAGCATTGTTCCAAGTCTTCCTACCCATTGGGATGGCGATAAACGTACTGGTCGTGCCCTGGCTTCATAAAATCTGAAACATTTCAAGAATAAAATCAAAATAAAACAAAAAGCAAGTTCGCAAAAAGTTAGACTACTAAAACGATAATTGGTATATATAAATACAGAGTAAAAATTAATTGACGGAAAAACCTGGAGCAAAATAAGAGGTAAAATTAGAGTCTACAGCAGAGGGAGGGGTGAGAGGAAGATTGCTAGGATCCGGCGCCAGTAGCTGACGCAACTCTTCATCTTCGCACTCTTGGCTTTCTCGCACCTGGTCTTCTGCTTGTTCCGTTGAAGTGGTTTGTTGCGAACTCTCCATATCGTTCGCTATCGACAATCTTCTCGGATTTTCCTTCTGAAACTGAAGTGGTTTGGTAGGGTCAAATGCAGTCAAGACCCACCGGAAAAACCCTTTTCCTTCGTCCCCCTTCTCATTTCCTAAGGTTGCAGTTCATTCGGCAACCCGACCCGACCCGTATCCGACCCGTACCTACCAATATTTTAGCGGGTTAATTGGGCCTTGATAGCTCTTTGCTTATTTATGAAACCAGATGTAGTATTTAAAAGCCTTCATAAAATGAAAGAAATTAAAAGAAAAAAAAACTGAATTTATATTATACAATTATTCTTGAATTGATAAAAAAATAATAAAAATAAATTAATTAATAAAAATGTTTTAGAAACTTTTTTAATGCAATTAAATATGATGTAATAATTTAAAATTTTTATTAAAAAATAATAAATATAAATATAAATATAAAAAAATGATATAATAATTATTCGGAATAACAATACTAGAAAAATAAGTTTATTGATTTTCGTCTCCCATCAGATTAAAATTTATCAAATACAAATAATCACTTACATTTAGAAAAACCAGAGAGAAGCATTCTTGGTCCTTGCTCGCCGTTCACTTCGACAGCAAGAAACCAAAACCAGTACCAAAAACACAATACACGCACACCATTTTTATTGGCTGATAAAATTAGGAAAGAAGAAATCTCTTAGCGGCTCATAATTAATCAAATATTCATCATCTAACAACTTTACAGTCCAGCCTGATCTCTTGGCCGCCGCCGGTGATGCTGCTCATCTTGATCATGGACTGGACAAAAGCCTTCTCAAACTCATGCTTAGAGCTAGCGAACTTAGTCACAAGTGCTCTGGTTTTGGGAGTGGTGAGCAGAGCTTGATCCGAAGAGAAAAGACTCTTGCCTTGAAGAAGAAGTTTGTAATAAACATTGTCGAAGTTAAAGGTTGAAGAATCAATGGTGGCACCCGCGTTTTTAACCTTGTTGTGGACTGGGCATACACTTCTCAAGCTGGCTGCAAAGCTTGGGTTCAGTGCTGGGTCGATGTCTACGGTGGCATTGAAATTGTGAATTCTGTTCTGGAAGGATGAACAGTGGGAGAACCCAAGAGTATGTCCTCCTGTCATGTTTATAAATTTGGCTTATTATATATTTTATATATTTTTTCCCCAATCATAATAGAAAAGATAGATACTTTTCATAGGATGTTAAATATATATATATATATATATCTATTTTGAATTGGACCTGAGAGAGCAACTAGATCTTCGATGGAGAGACCTCTTTGGGCAAAGTTCTGCTGGAGTTGAGAAATGTTGAAGGTGGGAGCTGGTAATTGTCTGGTATCACTTGCCCTCGATATTCTTCCATCTTTTCTCCCTTTTGGAACTTCCCAAGTACGACCTCCTGACTGCACCATCACATACCAAACACGTAAGTTTCCCATGTTAACTGTACCTATATAAAAATATATATCACCTTTACGTATGTAGAACTGACACAAAGGACCACATCAGACTAAACCCAAATCAGAAATTGTATTTGTTATAATTGACATGGCTTTAAAAATTGGAGTAAGGAAAAAAAGAAGTAACCAAAGCAACAGCATCTCTAGCAGCGAGAGCCAAGATGTCAGCGCAGGAGACGACACCAGGACACATAGCTTCAACTGCTTTCTTAGCATTATCAATCACATAAAATGCATGCAATGAAATATTAGGAGGTCCATCTTTCTCTGCTTTGTTCTTTCCCTTTGATTTCAGCAACACTGATGCATCACACCCCTTAAAAAACGACCAACACATCATCAAGTAAATCAATTATAATTAACTGATTAAACTAATATAAATTTTGTAGGCATGAATGTATGCGGGTCTCTAATTACTCTGATAAAGCAATCATGAAAATGCATTCGCAGTAGGGCGGCAGGAACTGTTTTATCATTCATCATTGCTTTCTTGACAGCATCGGTGACAGCGGATTCGAGTTGAGGGCATGTGTGATCGTAGTAATTTGAGCTCAGTGCAGTAACTGAAGAAAAAACTTGAAATATGAGGAGGGTAAAAACCAATGCAAGTAGTCTTTGTGCCATATGTATATACATAAATATATTTTCTCCGAAGGAAATTAATTAGCTCTAACTTGGTTCTGGGCTGCATGAAAACTCTCATATTTATAGCACAAGAAAGGGGAAAAAAGGGAAATGGAGTTGTTATTGTTGCTATGGTTGTTAGCCAAAATTTGGTGATCAAGAACCTTGTTAGTGGAGTAGTGTTGAAGCATCTGCTCGTATGCAGACAAGACATGCATGTTAATATTGTCTTTCTTCTTTTTATAAAAGGTGATGTTAAGTTTCATTTGTTACAATTATAATTCAGTTTAACGGCAATAATTTTGGGGAATGACATCTCTATAAAGACTGTAAATCTGAAGTTAGAAAATTTACGAAATTTACTTCATGGAGGATGGTGGGTAAGTTGAGGTATTTCAAGTTACAGGAGCTGATCATGCCATATAGACCAATCTTTACTATATTGCTATGGATAATGTAAGTAGTGGTACTAACTAACCAATTGGGTCTTTAAGGCCAGATTAGAATAGAAGCAAAGTATTTGGTTAGCTTAGGATGATGACCCTACAAACCTTGTGTGTTTGGTAGATGGGTTGAACCAATAAAGGTACTTACTTTATGTTTGTTAAGTTTTATTTTAGTTGAAAATACTTAGATTTTACTAATTAGTTGACATATAAACACTACTTATAATACAATCCCGTAACGAATGTACACAGTACCGTAAAATCTCTTGTAAAAGAAGAAGAATACGAATCATCCAACGAAAGAATGATTGGTTTTAATATTATTAAGTAGTTAAGAAAGGTGTCAATTTCAACCATTATGTAAGTTGTATCACACTTTAACCACATCAACAAACAGTGGAATGATTAAAACATAATAAGTCCAAATCCTAATAATTTAAAGGTTTATCCTTTGCATGATATGTTCGGTAGTAATAGTTGATCTTCTAAATCCATTATTAAAAACAGTGTATTGATTGGAGGATTAATGAGTTCTATGTGAATCAGAATTTCTCACACACTGATTTTCAGAAAGTAATGCTTTTATGTATCCATTAAATTCAGGCCCATCTGTCTGTTTACTGCAATTTTCCAGTTCCCTTTTCATTGTAATTTCAATTAATACTCTTCACTGATTCAATTGTGATGCACAGAATTTATGATCATGTTCTGATACAGTTGAAGTTCATGCAAAGCACTGAAATTTCACCAGCAAATAGCATTTCAAACAGAACAATTAGAACATAATAATCTATTTGCAAGTAAAGAAAATACATGTGGAAGTTTACATCTGATGAAGCTGCAACTGATTTCATTGAGCTTCTTATTATATAAATATGTTTCAGCATAAAATAATTTTTCAATTCAGAGGAAAAAAAAAAAGAAAAATTATAAGAAAGCATCACTCTGTATATCAGGCTCTCTGTATTTTACTAGGAAAAGAAATGCAGAAAAGGCCTTATTAAGTTTTCCTTGAGTTCGTGGGTCAAGTTTCTCATCTCCATAACCAGCCTGAGAAAACTAGTCATTCATATGATCTAACCATCCCAGTTGTTTTGCTTGATCTGGAAATGTTTGGCGGGCTGCTTGAGTAAAATGATAAGCACGCCTCTGCCAATTTCAACCCAAAAGCTAAAATTCAATGGTTGTAATTTAGAACTGTATTTTGGTGGAGAAGGATTGACCAAATGCCCAGTTTGATGGCACAACGTTTGGAAAGACTCTGGTTACCCCATCTGTAGTGGTGACCTGGAAGGACAAAGATTGGCCATTGAGGTAGGAGTTGGATTGCCAATTAGCTCCCCAGTTCCTTGACATTGCTGTCCAACCTGTTTTTGATCCTTTGATGGATACTGATTTGATGGATCCAGCTCCAGCTACGTTGCTGATCAAAACAAGCTCGAAGTAGTCCCTGCCATTGATGGTGAATCTAACTCCACCATGCTTTTTGCAGGGCACCCTGCACCAATTTCAAGAGTTTGTTGATATTCAGAAACATGGTATTAAATATTATAAACACATTTAATAGGACTAGCTATTCAGATTAATCTGTACCTCTGGAAGATAACAGGCACGATCCCACCTCTGTAAATACCGATCTTTTCCCAAGCAGGCTGAGCCATATCAAAATGCTGGAGAGGAGGGTTGCACCAGCCGCCATTGTTGTTTGGGAGAGCATAGTTAGGAGGGCAGAAGTTTGTTGCAGTAATGGTGACGGATACTCCTTTCTTGCACCACTTGGGATCTACTTGGTAGTCGCACATGATCTTGTAGCATTGTCCACATGAAGCTCCATCGTTAAATAACGCAGTGCTAAGAGCAGCAGTCCTTGTTCCGTACCCAGTAGAATATAGATTACCATAACCACAGGCTCCCCCTACAACGACCAAAGTATATTAATCATTTAAGCTAAGATTCATCTGGTTTAGTTATCAGAAAGATGAGAAAAAGACAAGTGAAAATGGTGAAATACCCATTGTTCCTGATGCATCGCTGCCTCCATAAAACGTGGCATGAGCTTTAGTCCACCCAGAAGGCAAAAATGCGTGGACTGTGATGGTAAGATAGCAGAAGAATCCAAGCAAGATGGCTGCGAGTTGGGCCATTTGTTATTATCTGAGGAGATAACCAATAGAGGAGGAAGAAGATGGAGAATTTATTTACATTTATGGAGAAATTCATGGAGAAGAAGAAGGTGTTTAAATAAGGGACCAAACTCTGTGATGCAACAACCTCACATGTGATCTCCGCAAGCTGGAGAGAAAACTTGAAACAAAAAACTTATGGTTTTAAAATTTAAATTATCCCTGCAGAGACTGAAGATTTCTGAGCCGCATTCAATTATTTCCACGTTCTCTAACTCCTACCCCACAAGCCCACATGCTATTCCCCATAAGAAGAGCCGTGAACAGATCGATAACTACAGCCCAAATTGTCTTTTTAAGGGTTTTATTACAATTATGTCGCTGTTGCCATTTCAAGGAAGGAAGACATCTTCAATGGTTTTTCTATGTTATACAATAAAAAAGTATCACATGGGATTACTTTGACCCCCATATACATAATCTATGAATAATAGAATTGGCATTATTTGAGTCACGCACATGATCCGTCTTGATAATAGAGGCTTTGATTGTTGGTGTTATTATCTTACAGTTCTGGTTTTCTTGAGATGAAATGTTGAACAGATGATTAACATACCATCTCAAATTCCCAGTGTATATTTACTGCAACAATGCCAAAAATCAGACCGCCAACCGAGATAAGTCACTACATTTATTAGGAATTGACACATGATGTGACGAAACTAAATGCAGCCATTCTGGTAAAATTTTGAGCGTTCTCACCTGCACTTCACTGGTTAAAGCAGGTGGATCCAAATTCCATGGACCGACATCAGAAAACCTTACAGTCCTTCTGCGTAAGCGTGTTACTGCTCACCCTAGTATTTTACTGCTTGATCTAGTTATCAAGTATGGCTGTTTGAATGTAAGCACTGGAATTTCAATATTCTACGGTTTCTCTTCGGTGGTTTTTTGTCTTTCCATCTGGAAACTGCTGGATCTACCGCCCCCTGGAAGTTGCACTTTGCAACCACGTGACGACAGCACCGTCAAGCAAATCTATTTGAAGCCCATGCAGCCAGACTTCATGGATCTCGTCTAGTATATATTTAAACGAAAAATAATTCTGTTTCGCCAAAACTGAAAAAAAAAAATCTTTCATTTTCGGATACAGGGGTTAAGAACAATAATTGGAGAAACTCCCACGTCTTTTTCTGGTTTATAAAAATGATGTTCGTGAAAACAGTATATCCACGTGGGCATGACATATAAAAGAATTGCCAGCGTGGCGGACACATGTCTACCACGCTGGCAAAGCAAACTTGCATCTTTCGTGAAGCCCCTCCCTCCTCTGCGCATTCTTCTTCATACACAAGCTGATGGTTCTTCAAATCACTGTTGAAGTTAACACAGTATGTGTGTGCAAGGATAGAGATGTCTGCTTGTCTAACGACTCCCTTCCAAGCGCGCAAACAAAACAATGCTTCTTTACCTTCTGCCACATTTTTTCACATGTTCAAACTTTGGTTTGGTAATCACCAATTCCTGCTACTTACTACTAAAAATCTTCAAAATCAACACAGCCGAACACTGAAACGTCCAATCCTAGTGTTATTTAGATATAGCAAACATGAAGTTGGTGCCTCATTCCATAATAATTTTTAAGGGCTTGAAAAGTTGAAATGCAATAACCGATAAGCATAATCAAGCAAAGATTTCTTCATACTGACAATTGTTAACTCTTCAATCTAGATAACAAAAATACGTATATAAAACCAGGGAGGACGCCAAGTCTGTAATGTGTTCTGCAAGTTCTCAAAAATCATCATCATCATCCTCTGCTATATGCTTTGCAAGTTCTTGCTCCTGCTGTTGCCTTTCTCTCCGCTTCTCAGCACTTTCCTTCTCCTTCTGTGTGTTAGGCAGAAATCGCAGAGCTCGAACTGCTTCATTGTGCATATTAAGGCAGAAAGCAATCCTGGAGTTGAAGGCCATTTGTGGCTCGTTGGTAGAATAAATGTCGCCAGTCTCCTTGGACACCAGCCAGCCATTTGCATGATCCAATGTGGCATCAATTGCACCATCACGAATAGCCTTGGCTACAATGCTTTCAGCATCTGCCACAGGGTTTGCAGAGTCCATCCTCAATTTTTTTGCAACATCAGCAAGAGAGATGCGGGAGTAAGATATACTGATGTTGCGCAAACCAGTTCTTATCACATTTTGCCGCAACCGTACTATCAAATTGCGTGTCCTGTCAGTACTAAAAGTGTCAGAAAACTTTTCTGCAACACTTTTAAAGAGCTCCAGATCTCCAATCCGCACAGCCTGAAAGTTTCAACAAAATAATTATTTACTTCCTCAGAACTATAAGAGATTGCCAATATTTATCATGCCCAATAAGTGTGAGTTGACTAGCTAAACTTACATTTGTAAGTTCAAAATATGGCCTCAAAGCCTTCTCCATTCCCTTCTGCATAAAGACTGTCCTCTCAGGTATTTCTCCCAATAGCAATCTGACTAAAACAGCCCACTTATTACACTGAATTCGGAAGCCACGAGCTGCAACGGGCGCTTTCCTAGCAGCCTGAAGGAGACTCTCCTTTGCATCAGTGTATTCCAGCTGAATTGTCCGAATTTTTCCGAGGTAGAATAGATATCGGCAAAACTGCAGAAAAAATATTTTAGGCCAGATATATCTTAGATAAAAAAGGCAAGCTTCATGTATCAGTTCTTTTTTAAGAAGTTCTATGTATTGGAACAATTTAGAAGATCTATATATCGGAATTATTAATCAGACGAACAAAGAAGGTTCACAGAACTGCTAAAAGTAGACATAGGATGCACATACTTCTGAATTCTTAAAACAAGATTAGTAACTTGGTAGAATCCCCCTTATCTCTAAATGGGAAACATAGATAGACTAAAACAGTGGAGTTTGAAATGAAATTTATCTTGTCGCTGGTAATTATAGGTTAAAAACAAACAGGAGGGCGCTATGAAGGTAACTAGATCAGTTGGGCCAAGCAAAACCAAAAGGAAACATGCAGTCTATCCTTTCATAAAAGCATCTAAAGACAAGGTCAAATAGAAACTACCATCCAAAAGATATGCTCCATTCCTTAAGAGTGGATATAGGAAAACCAGATCCAAAAGGCATTACAATATTTTGCCATACCTGCTGGTTTGAATGTGCTTCAAAGCGTGGTGCCTTCGACCTCAACTTCTCCGCTTGATCATACAGATTATAATGGAGGTAGTTACGAAGTAATAGGTTGAGAAGCGTTTCCTGCAATATTACATGTATGAGTTTCCATATTTATAATGGTGAACAACCTTCAGTTGATCAGTAACAAACCTGGCCCAGCTCATCATGGCGTAATGTGGCAATGCGATGCAAGGCAAGAAGGTTGCTGCCAGCAGAAGCAAATCACATAAGAAAAACTATGATTACTCTATTCAGCAATAACCAATACCCTAATTCCAAGATGCTCACATATGTATAATGAAAATCAATCCAGGAGGTTAATAAAATGCAAGTACAAAGAGCATACAGAGCGTTAATAAAACACTCACCCCCGGATTTCAGAAAGATCACCAGTGAGCTCGTAGCTGTACGAATAATAAAAATACAGTCTTGCTGCTATGACATCAACAGTCCTTCTGTTTAAGTTCTTGAGGCGAACAATGCTCGCTGATGAGCACGCTTTAGCCTAAAAGAGTAGAAAGTAAACAGACCCTCAACATGTTACCAACTTTGTTGATTCAACCTGTAAAGAAGATTACTAAAAAGAAGGCAGATCCAGTAAAAAACAATTTCACCTCATTGTATTTTTTCTGATCAATCAGAAAAAGAACCACGAGAAAGTAGCAGTAAATCTCGAGCTCTGGTGATAGATGCTTCACTAGAGTTTGTGAAGCAGATGTTGCAGTATCAACTTCCATATCATGCTCATCAGCCTACAAGCAGTTTTATGGAAAGATATTAAGATTTCAGAGGAACTGAAAAGATAACCAAGCTTTTTATGGTTGTTAAACACCCATGACCCCCATGCATGGTTAGAGAATCCTCCAGAGTCCTTTATGGAGTTAGTAATCAGTAATATAATCTGTCAATTTTATTGATTTTATGCTATTGTTTGGTGCGACTGAAACTTTCTCTGAAATTCATTTAGAAATTTTTTTAATTTTTTTTAAAGTTTGTTGTTTAATTCATTTGGAAATTGATACATAGTTTGACAGTGAGGACATGAATATTGATCCCTAGTAGACATTCAAGTGAAATTAAAATAGTACATTTAAAATTCCATCAATGTTTACAGAAATTGGAATTTATTACTTGCATTCTACTTGGAATTCCCTTGGAGATCAATCTTCATTCTCTTGTAACCAAATTTCCATCTCTTTTTCCGCTAAGTATGGATTCTAAAGGAATTCCACGAAAGTAGTTCATTTGCTCCATACATAGGTCCAATGAAGCTTTCTTTTCTAATAGAAAAGGAAAAAGATTAAGAAAAATGACACTTCTGGTTAGAGTGAGTTAGTAGATATTGACAGCCATGGCCCTAAAAATAGGGATCAATAGAACATATTATCTTCATCCACAGCTCGAAGGAACTATTACCTGCCAAATATCCTAAAAGAGAAACTCACAACTAATTGCTTCCTATAAAATTTCTTCAGGTACAAGATTAAATGGTCCTTTTTTTTTTCCACCATAAAAAGTAATTTCAATCTAGATAAAACTCTCTCTCGAAATGGCCTTCTTCAATCACCAAGGAAACAAGCATCAGCATCACCATAATACACTGCCCTCCTGTTTCTCTCTTTTTCCCCTTGTAGTGCAGCAACTTCATTTTGAACTTAACAAATCCATAACTTCACATTTGAATGTTCATAAGAAATTTTATCACTGAACTATATTAGAATTGGGTCCCTGCTCCTCTAATCTTTCTTGGGTAAAGTGTGGCTCAAACAACGATGAAAAAGCATGGGACGGTATCAGAGGTGCTAGATCCAAAAAGAAGATCATCTCTTTTGTTCCAAAGTCCATTTTACTTATCTGGAATGAGAGAAATAGAAGAGTATCTGAGAATTCCTCATGCCTTTTGATGCCACAAGGGATCATTGTTTGTAGAAAGGTCTTCCCATCAAAGATGGAACTGATATTGCTGACCTTTTTGATAGCTAGAGAAATTTGTAAATTCTGTATAATTTGTAAATTCTATATTCAATTCTCAGCAACTAAATAATCACAGCAATCATGGTCAAGACAGCATATGTAGTCATGACTTGTCCCAGTAGATTGAAATTTCAATTCCCGAGGACCTAAACACGTAAGTAATATGCATGCTTTGAATTCACCACGTCTAATTCACTGGGTCCAAGCAATGCCAATGTAACAAATCAAAGATCCAGGTCATTGCTAAAAGAACTGTAAAGACGAGGAACAAAAGTATAGATCCCTAAAAATACGGCTAAACGATTAAACATCAATTCTTAGAGAAGCTCAAGCAATCAGAGTATCCAATCGTATCAAATATAAGAAAACACACAAAACAGGGTAAAGGAACAGAAATGTACCTTCGGAAGATAGGCAGAAAATCGAGCATGTGGCTCAGAGCCCGGCGCCAAAGCGAAATCAAAAAATGCGGAGAGCACTGGAGCCGTCAGCTTCCGCCTCAGTCCGATTGTTAGGCGGACCGCACGAACGATACGTCGAACTTCCTTGGTGTATGAGCCAGTCTCAATAAGCGATGCTATCTCCTTAAAATCTATAAACCAACAAAATCAACAAAAGATCGTAAAGATAAAGGACGAGGAGCCAAACCTAGAACTAGAGGAAGTTATCGAACTGATTCGATAACTTACGCTGCAAAGTGGACGGCACGGCTGAAGAGATGGAATGCGATGGTGTCTGGTGGTCTTTCATTTCCACATCTTGAGTCATTTTTGTTAAAGCTCCTATCAAGAAAAGAACAAACAAAAGGAAAATAAAATAGTAGAGAAGCTGGAGTATTTCAATTGAAAAGAAAAAAGGAAGAAGAGAAAAACGAAGACGATTGATTTCCAAAAACAAATAACAATATGTAGGTGCCAGGAGCTGGAGTGTTTCAATTAGAAGGAACAAGGAAGGAGAAGAAAACGAAGACGATTGATTTCGAAGAACATATAATAATATGTAGGTGCCACTTACAAATCTGGAGAAATAGCGCAGTAGAGATTACAGAAGCTGGAGCTTTAGGGCTTGTAGCTGCGAATTTGCTTCCCCGTTATCAGTCTCGATCCTTTCTTTCTCTTCAAGTTTTCTAAACTACATGTGGGCTTTAATTTTATTTCAAGTTTTATAACTTTCATCGGCGTAATGTCGTTGTAGTATAGTGGTAAGTATTTCCGCCTGTCACGCGGACGACCCGGGTTCGATCCCCGGCAACGGCGAAACTTTTTACGTACTCGCACAAAATAAATTTTTATTCACAGTGGAAGTTACTGCATGCAACCTATTACTGGGTATTACATAAATAAGATTATCATTCTTTCTTCTGTGTTACATTACAATATTATGGTAATACATAAATAATCATATACATACGTATGTATATATGTAGCTAATGGGCTCATGTACTTGTATTTTTAGACTTAGACTTAAACATTTAATAATAAAACATGATAAATTTAATATAAAGTTGCCACTTAAAAATCTCGAATGTGGGTAACCAATTTTTGCCAAACAAAAATGATCTCTGCTGTAATAAACTTAGTTAATGTGTTTATCCAAAAGCTAGGTACATTGTTGAAAATGAAAAGTTTGATAGTCAAACATGAAAATTTTAATATAAAGTTGACACTCAAATATTTCAAATTTAATACGAAGTGGTAATAAAAAATTTACCACAACCATCATAATCTCTAGCGTCAATTTGCTTTAGTAATATTTAACCCAATAATGACTTTCAAAACTATGGACTAGTTAGAAAAAAATAATCAATATCTTACTATAGTTTACGTTGTAAATTTTAAAATTATTTAATATTTAATATAAATATCTGTAAAATATAATATTATTTTTAAAAAGTAAAACTTGTGCATTTAATAAAAATAATTTTTAAAATTTAAAGTAGAACTTTCTATCAGTAGTTAAAATTATTTTATAGAAATTACAAATTCTAATTTTTGTATTTAAACTTTGTCAAAAACTAAGTTCCACTTTTCATTTTGGCAAAACTTTTTGAAGAATTTAAGGACTCTTTTAGATACAAGTTTTGATCAAACACCATAGTTTACAAGTTAATTCAAATACTCTCTTCGACACAAGTTCAGAATCATAATTTGAGTTCACTGTTGCTGACATAAACTTGAAAAATGAATAACTTGAGCCATTAAGACACTTTTAATGATCAAAATACTATAATCATCTAAATGAATACCTCAAGAGTTGAGCATCAAACGTGAGTGGCATGCCTGTTTGGTTTCTTGATTATTAGTTAGCATACCGAATTTGCACCTATGGAAGACATCCGCTCCATGCCATTCAAAATTTTTTCCTTAACCAAACCAAAAAACTGAAAATAATAATACTAGTGATGGCGTTAAATCCATCTCATCCGAAACATACAAGAAAAATAAAAGAATGAACTGCTCGGTCAAAAAGAAACGGGTTACAATTGATCGTCTAAGCATCTTGCCTAGATCTACAACATATAAGGATGCCACTGAGACACGGAGTAACTCTACCAAATTACTACATAATGGTTACACATGCTTATGCTTTATGACCTAACGTTAAAAACTGACAGTTGGAGACCAGAAAAAGCAAACAAGATACTTCAATAATTAACCACAAACATGGAATGGAGAAGGCATCGACAACACCCCTTTTTGGATTGTGCTATTGTCTCTCATGCAGCTGCCTGGATCGGTCCATTAAGTCTAGACCCATTGTATCTGAATCCACGGCCTCTTCCACGATTTCCCCTTCCACGACCACGGCCTACAAAAGACATTCATCATAAGATCCAGAAATAAGGAAATAGAACAAGTCCCATAGCCTTTTTTTTTTTTTTTCAGGTCTATAAATCCCAAACTTCCCAACATCATCAATAACTTCTTTCTCTTCAACCCAAAATCCTACTCATGCCCATATTCTTTGCATTAAATTTGCTTTTCCAATTTAATGGAACAAGAGGAATCCCAGGCAAATTTTGAACCCATCCAGTTCGAAAAATGCAGAAGCAGATCATAGCTGATCAGAGATCCTCCGATGATCATATGTTTGGGAAGAATCTTCCTATATAACCATTTAACATCATGAGACCTCTCATTAATCAATAAGATACCAGATAAACCAGGATAAAAAATTTGAACTTCTCCAAGAAATAGGAGAACTGCTTCAGAAAATGGAACTCGATAAAGAACAAAGACTAGCAACAGCTGGTACATGGTCAGAACTATGATGACCTAGATAATATTAAGGATAACCTTTTCCTTCTAGGATTAACAAAAAACAGCAAAAAATAGATAACCTACCACGGCCTTGACTGGGTGCTTCATATCCATAACCTCCATCTTGGGGCCCATTGTATCCTCCACGTCCACGGCCACGTGAACCACGCCCTCTCCCACGACCTCTGCCCCTAGAATATCCTCGATTGCGATCCCAACCTCCATCTTCATACTCGGCAGATAGATACCCATTCCCTGAAAAAAATACAGTATCCAGAAAAGCAAATGTAATGACTGTTTTCCCAGTTGAAACATACAATAAATATATAAATAAAGAATTCAACCAAGTATGTCTTCAACACGTAAATGACTCAGACATTTTCAATAGTAAGCTCCAATCAACCGCAGGTAGACAATGAGAAAAATTCAAAACACAAGCACAAATATCAGATTAGACATACCTCTAC